AACTGTACCCTAAGTGTTTATTACATTGCAATTTTCTGGATCCAGAGTGAACGACCCCCAGAATATGGGTGTGAAAAGATGCAAGTAAGTATCTCCTCACAATCGTGGAGAGATATCTTTGTCGTCACAAGATCATCTGATGAAAAGCCTAATATTGCCCACTCGGTACGCCAAAAACTGCAACAATGTCGTGAGGATCAGCTTTATGTATGTATGACTTCATGGCTAAATGAGGTCTTTTATCCCTACTGGCTCGGTTCGCACAATACGTGGCAAAAGTCAATAAACAACCAACTCCGCCAGAAAGTTGCATGATGATGTATACTCTTAATGAAAGAAACCCACATTGGGAAAATATGCATTGAACTTCACTCTAACAGGGCTCGTTTTGCACACTTACATGTTTTATTAGAAACTGGTTCTTCGTCGAAGCTTTCTAGTATCTCAAAGTACAAAAGAAAAGCATGATACGAGTGGGATGAATCGAGCTTTTATCGCAGCATCCATCAATGACTTCCAGCTTCTGAATAGAAGTAATTTATTTTTTTAAACATTTTTAGTGAAAATTTTGGAATTCGCTCTTTTTTAGCTTCAAGGAATCAAAGCCTGAAAGTTTTTAAACACTTTTATCGCGGAATGTGTCTTGGGAACCATGCTACGTGGTGCACGATTCTCCGCATAGAAGGGCGTCATGCTGTTTTTTTCGTGTGGGTTCCTTATCATCGCACCCATACCGATGACGTTTGACCTGTTTAGTGAGATTCCGTTAAATGCCAAGGGTGAAGGCCAGCATACTGTCCTCAAGATGACCCAATCCAGCACATTTAGTGGCCTGGAAACATCACTAACGAGAGATTCAGCTGGGTTCTAGGTGAGTCTCTCGAAAAGCCAAATTAGTTTGCAAATGCGTGTATATTCGCTAATTTCGTGCAACTTGGTCTCAAGTAGACCATAAGGTTGACGGGAACCCGTGGACTGCGCCTACCTGATGAGCGAAACCGGTCGTGGGCCGTTGACGGTTTTTCAGCAGCCTTATGAGTAGTACATTACAAAGGTGTACTGTGGTTTTTAATTCACTTTGCTGAATTCCCTCACTGGTGAAACACACTGGTTCTTCAAATAGGAAACAGACTTTTGTAAGGAGGAGTCTATAGCTGAACGTGGATATCAAGATCAGGACGCATTTTTCGACTGACTTTCTCAGAGAATTTTGCCTCTTATGCTGTTATGTTCAGGAGTACAATTTTTTGTACGTCATGCTGAATTATGTTTAGCTGAGTAAACAATAGCAAGAAGCTAATCGTCACGTAAGTTAAAAACCCTTCAAGATTCTGTAGAAAATGTGACAAATGAGGCTGGATGTCAACTGACAGATTTGCTGTGTGTGGTGGTCGGTTTCATGAAAAACCTTATTGTCATGCTTCAGGAATAGATGGTTGCCTTCAATATGTTCTTTTAGAAGCAGTTGAGGTTTCCCGTGGAGTGCGTGGAAAAGACCGACAGCCACCTATGAGACTATGTTCATGGCACAACTGACGGTCAGTTTTTTCTAGATTCTTTCTAGATTCTACTAAACGAAATTCAAAACATTTTCGCGACTTTGCCTGCGTTCGAGCTTACAAGGGTTTCAGTTGTCTTACGAGCTGTTTCGCTTTGATAGCCTGTACACTCTTGCCAGTCATCTGTATATGTTAAAGCTTCTACCTAGCAGAACGTTCTTATGTTAATTCTTAGATTTTTTGATTTGCATCCTTTTTGGTTATTCTCACTGTCCTGTGTAATGGCCTTGTGTATTGTCTATTTTTTGTGAATGACAGGTCCTAGTTGCAGTTATGCGCTATGCTAATTTGTAGAGCACAAACACTGAACATTTCCGGATCTGTCTTCTTGGTAAGTACAAGGTTTGGTAGGTTCGTCGATTGCTCTCTTTACTCATTTTCCTAACTGATCTGTAATTTGGACTTTCAAGTTCCTGTGAAGGCAAAAGGATATGAAAACTTGAAGTCGGCACTAACTATTTTAGGTGAGTGAAGAAGCATTGATCAGTTACCTGAGCCCGCAAGTCATCCCAATTAAGCTGACCAGACCTCAAAACGAATAAGCTATCAAGCTGAACCTGCAGAACTGATGTGTTCACGTTCTTGCATTTAGCCCTGTATCTTCAGCTGATCAACGTCCGGTGCTTCTAAGACATGAAGTACCATAGTGTGCCCCGTGTTTGCGAGCTGAAGGACAAATTTATGACTTTATTTTGTGCCGGCCTGCCACAGTGATCATCCAAGAGTGACAACTCAAGAACAATTCAAAATCAGTCACGCAGTGCTGAAGAACATCTCGCCCAGAAACTACATTGGGTGACTCCATTAAAACGGTCTGCATCATGATTTACTCGCTTAATTTCATTGTTTTCGGTGTTGGAAGTGCTGGTTAATATAGAGACAATGGTGTATAATTTTAGACCATGTAAGAATATGTGGATGGTAGGTCAATTCGGCAACATGAGTGTGCTGTCCATGAAACCGTTCATCCCCTCCCGTTTAGGTCTTCGAAATGTCCTCATGCGAGCTTCCAACTAAAAAGCTGTAGCCAAGTTGCTCCATACTTCAGTTAACGTTGCTTGGTCCATACTGTTTGTTAATTTGCTGGATGTTACGTCAGCCTCAAGGTGTGTTAATTGCAAGTTTTGCCCCAGTGGTGATTCAAAGACGAAACATCCGGTAGTGTGTCATGAACCAGTGACGCAAAAACAACATGGTTGTTCTGGCGAGAAAGTAAGCAGTAGAAATTTTTATCCAGTTTCGACGAGAGTTAACTTCACTTTCCTACGCTATTCCTGTAAGGATGTCATACGAATGTTGTGTTCCTGTTCATTCCCAATACCACTCCCCTTGGGTTCATGGTAGACACCTTAATTGTGAAATATACGAATGCCTGTAGGACTTCTCTTCAGACTGCAGTTGATGTGACTTCCCACCCAATACATTGATCTACAAATGACGCTTTCCAAATGTCCATCAAGCACGATGCATTCACACTTATACGCAAACACATGAACACATCAAAACTCTTCTGTTCATCTCGGACGCTTGGTCACCTCATGGTCAATTTTTACAGCCAAATATTTGGAACTAACAAACCCGCCGTTCTTTTTTCCCCAAATATCCTTTTTTCTCCTCAGGTGATCAGTTTTCTTCCTCTTTTTATCGTATGAGTGCCGTTTAGCTATACACAAAACTGTCTACTTCCGATATAATGGCTTGTTTGAAGATTCACCAGAATTTGCGAACAAAGAACATTCCTTTACTTGTATCGTCATGTCACCGCTCATAAATATCTTCATGGCCAACTCGATAAACTTTGAAGACGGAACGCAATTGCAACATTTTAGCCACTGAATCCAGGTTGAAATCATTTCTCACACAGTTGGTGAGGTTTCCAAGGACTTGTGTTATGGTTCATCATTCCTCAGTCTCTCTTCACTACATTTTGAAATGAGAGAATGTCAGATCTAGCACCCATCACCATTTGGGATGCCCATTTCGCCCCCATTAAAGTACGGTCATACTGTCATACTCTCTATGCGTGACGTATGCCTTTCTCAAAAATAGGTTAGCGTTCAATGTATGTAGATCTACACAGACTCGACTCTTTGGTGCACCAAGATCCCCAACGGTCCACCACCTCGGAAGGAGATTTCAAAGAGAATGATGGCTTCCTCACCACGGCCAGTCATGTAAGGTGGTGAATGAAAGGTGGAATGTTGCAAATATGTCTTGAGAGCACCACACTTCTCAACAGAGCAGTTTTCCGAAAACGAAAAATCACATCTCAAATCAGTGGTCTACCAAGTGAACAAAATCACGGTTTTTTTAAAGAGACTTGAAGTTTAATTTTCGGGTTGGGTTTATCTCGAGTTCTTCCAAATGCCGGCACTTCTTAAAGGGAAAGCGGCTCACTTATTTCGAAGTTCACGCACAGCAGCAATTTCAATTTTTTAGCCCATTTATATGGGCCCAAATAAAAGATTTGGCACATCAAAGCATGCCTTTGACTTCGTATTTGACGTCAGTAGGTTTCGCAAATGTATTAGGGTGCTTGTTTGAAGATCCGGAACGTGACTAATGTAAGTTACTGAAGTTGGAACAGCATAGAAAGGCCTAAATACAAAAGGTGTTCATATCACTGATTTTTCCAAATCTTGAATGCTTCGGACACGATGAACTTGTGAGCCTTAAAAAGGAAGCGCGTAACCTTGTGTTTGTTGTTCGAAGGGAAGGGTCTCTTCGAATTGATTGCGCGTTCTTGTCTTGAAATTGGAACTTAAAGTCGGACCAGAAGAGCTAATTAACCTAAACTGAACGATTTCGTCCTTACCTAGAAAACGAATGTTCCCTGTACACGTGCAAAACCACCTTATGCATGTAAGCATGCCAATTTTCCCAGACTCCTACATGGTTGATGAGTCCTTCAAACCTGCGGTGACATCAACTAAGCCAAGAAGTGGAAGAAACCGTGATCGATATTACTCGATACTCCTTAGTATACTTGGCAGTACTTATACTAGATGGTACAAGCTAGCACTAAGTAGTACATGGTGTCTTGGATTTGTGATGCAGAACACTGAAGAACTCACAAAGCTTCATCTACGCAAATCGGGTGCTCCGAGAAACAACCGCCAATCCATTGGGAGGAAAATAAGATATAGTTTACAAAGCTAGCAAGCAGGAACAAGCGTCTAATTTTACCTTGTATTTGAAAGCGATGAATTATTTTACATCGGTTCCATAAAATAAAAATTAATATCTCTCAAAAACGGAAAAGAAGTGATAAAATCTATTTACCTGTTCATCAGTAATGTAAAAGTTCCTTGTATGTTTCATTACATCTGTCCTTACAATCACATCCGAATTATTCGGTCATTCGGGTCAACAACAGAATGCGCAGATAAGTCAGCTGTTCCTCACAGGGTAGCAAGTTCGTTTTAGTTTGATAACCCATTGTTAATCAGATTTAGAGCAAACCTCATCGTTCTGTGGTGTGCCCTCTACCGAGTATGTAAGCTGCGTCAGTGGGATCGTGATGATCTTGTTTTCCAGGACGCTATTGTTTGTTGTAATTGTTGTTTCCAAATTGGTATGCATTTCATTCCCTCTTTTCATCCGGTTACGCTGAACATAGAACAAGTACAAGAACTCCATTAGCTCGACAATAAAGGCCGCCGTCAGTCCGATAGTGAGTGAACATAAACCACCAACGCGACTTACTAAGACATATAGACTAAGCACAAGGTTTTCATTCTCTTCCACTGTATTGCGCGATTTGCGACGAAGCACAATATAGGCAAAATCCTCTCCGTCTAAATCCAACTTTTCCGGGGGCCATTTTGGCATCTCAGCATATACATCGGACCCATTCCCAAGGCGCATCAATTCGCCGTGACTCGGTATGTGAGTAAGATTATCATAGGTGAGATATAACTTCCAGCGTTCAAATTCCGCTTGTGCGGTTACGTTCAAATCCGGATGCATTTCCTTCAGCTTCAGCAGGCTTTCTGATGCTTGATTCTGCACCCGGAGCCAGTACAATTGCCAAGGATAGCCACGCCATTTGGTGATTGAGGTAGTGCTGGGATATACATAGTAGTTACATCTGGGAAGACATTTCGTTCCGTCGTATTTTCGCTTTACACTGATGTCCAGATACTTAGCCAAGCATTCCAACCGTTTTACAAAAGCAGTCTGGTTATAGTCAGGCCAAATCTGACCACAATATGGCAAAGATTTTGTTGGTAGCGACAGCCGTGGATACATCACATAAATGCAGTGACAGTTATTGATAATCTCCAGTTGCTGTTGCACCAGCAAACAGTCTTCATGCGTATAGTTAAACATGGTTTCCAGATCCCTAAACCGGTGCGTCTCATTTGGTTGAATACACGGTCGCCTGGGTGTGCTCAGCACATTCCATCGATGTGGCTCATAATTGATTTCATTGAGTTTCCCAGGCTCCACATGGATCCCATTTCTCTCCAAGTCGGGCATCGTGCCTGGTTCGTGAACGACAATGCGCATTCCTCTGGCTTGCTCGAATATGTCAGGGAAAAATGCGGCCTGCGGTGGGACATCTCGATCTCTGGGGCCCATACTTACAACTAGAGTGAAGAAGCTTGTTTCTATTGCTTTTTGCATATCACTTGGCTCAAAAGTGTAACAATTCATGTACTGATGATGTGAGAATCGACGAAGCATATATCCGGGCAATATAGTACAATTGTCTTCGAACGTAAACGTGTGTTCAAAGCTTCGCATGCAACTGAGAAATATGGATGGAGAATGTCCCAGTTGAATGACTTTATCATAGTCCAGATTCTGATAGTATACACTCAACGTATCATATCCCCATATGGAACTGGCCGATTCTATATCGTTCTTCTGAAGAGCATCCAGAACCAATTTGCGCATATATCTGTTGTACTCGGCCGGTGATAGAATATCATTTTGATTCCACAACTCATAGGCCCGATAGGAAAAGGGAGGTTGATGACATACCGTGAGAGAGGGAAAAGGTGAGTCGTCATCCAATCGGAGCTGAGTTCGCACACTGACATCATAGCACAAGAAATCTTTGATCAATAGCGCTGTGGCGGAAATCAATAAGCAGGTCATACTTAACACAAATATCAGCCAAATACCACGCAGAAATTGTGGCCCTGTATGCAGTTTGGACATGCCACGTACAGAGGTACATTTGCAGAACAACTGAAAGGCTTCTCCTGAGGGGCAAAAACTTTTTTTGGATTTTGGACTGCATTGACGCTGGATGATAGGTTTTGTTTCGACTCCAACGCCCGCGTGTTCCGGAGAAATAGGTAGTACATTGCTGTCTTCGTTGGTGTTTTTCATAGTGACTGGTCTGAACACCATTCAATACATCAGTTCATTTCATCAATTATAATACGTTTGCTTACACTCTTAAATATGCACGTAGTATACGGGCGACTGAAAGATAATCAACCAATCAAATTCTTCAAAATGAACCAATGGGAAAATAAGGTTGCTAGCGTTGCCTCTGCCCACCTTGAATAGTGAGACGGGGGTTAGTGGTCTATAAAGTTCGAAGAAAATAATTCCAGGAGTAAGGTACATGTACCATTATCACGATAACAGAGATCTTGTTCTGTGGGTAAACCAGGTCTACGCAAAGCCGAGAAGCATTGTAGACTTGCTTCCTTTTTGTTGGCAATCACCAGCAGTGCGCACCTCGTGAAACTGTCTTGTTAACGTGAGAATTAATCACACTGTCGATCGGCCGCTCTTGGTCAAATGCTTAAGTGTTCAACCATTGGACGGTTGTTCATTGCTTCGAAACACTGATTTTGTGGAATGCACGCTGCTGGTTAGCCTAAACAAGGATAAAACAGCTGTAAAGGACTCCCCGGTTATTCAGAGTAGGTTGGTTTGGCTAACAGAATGTAATCTCGTGTGAAATTTACCGAGCCCCCTCACATCACCCGCAATTACATATCGGCGTTTCCGTGGCCGATATCAGAAATAGCCGGGAAGTCCATGCTGATAGATCAAAATATTGAATGCGACAAATGACGTGCCACCGTAAGTCTGTTTCTAGTTTCTAAAGGACAAACCGGTGAATGAAATTTTCAGAAAAAGAGAGAAGTAAAGTGGTCCGTTGGAGCAAGCTAATCTCAATTTATAAGAATGATACCGATGAAGTTGGCTTCATGTAAGGTAACTTTTAACAGTTTATGTGCACGTGACCTTCGTTTAAACAGTCACTCTCCTGAATACACGACACAGTGCCAGATATATACAATACACAATTGATCCTTATTGTGCACATGTTACTGAGACCGCGTCCGTCCCGATATGGTCACTTAGGGTGCTGTGACCTGCATATATTCAGACATGAGAGCAGGCCTAATCATTTTACGGAATGTCGGTCCACAAAAAGGTAAGGGTAATCGTGTCAATGATTTCGCTTTGAATGATGGAAGGATCTATAAACTGGGAAATGTTTGGGAAGTCTTCGTTTCAGAGAGGTTTGGAAAATAATCGGTGGATTGATTTGCAAATGAGTGTATCTCTCAAAAAAGTCCAATTTAGGTTCAACTAGAACATAAGGTTGACAAAACTTCGGAGACTGAGGCTACCTGATGAGCCCAAGAAGGGTAAAACCGGTCGTGGGTTGTCGAAGAGTTTTCGGCATACTTGTGAGTAGTTTTCGTTATGAAAATCGGTGAATTTATTGCTGAGCAACGTTTCGCTTTTTACAAAAAAAACTTCGTCAGACCAAGTAAGTAAGTAAGTTGATTGGGTTTTAAGCCAGTCAGGGAACCAATCCGTGAGAGTTCTTATAACTAGCCGACTTGATCGGTGCTGGATGCTCAGTCTGATGATCCTGGTTACTGCGGATGACTAACATTTAAGATAGATTGGTTAGGGGGAGGATTTATCTTCATGTTGAATCCGAATTTTTTCGCCCTTGCTTTTCCAGTCTAAGACACCTTGATGGAAAATTCCTCTTGGGGTCGTTCACAGATTTCGCTCACCTGTGTTCGTCAAAGGGTGCCGGGGCAATTGGTCTTGGAATGGGGGGTGGTTAATTGGATCTAATTCTACTCGGAACGTTGCTCAGCAATAAATCCACCGATTGTTTACCAAACCTATCTGAGTTGAAAGGAAGGATCTAAAGTTCACCAAGGAAAATAGGGCATTCGTGAACACGAGGATATTCAATTTGACTAAAATAAGATTTCTGACAGATTTGGTCCGTCCGGCCTGCCTATGAACAAACCTGTCTGAACAGCTTAAAATTAGGTCATATAGGTATTCTCGAGATATCAAACTCGATGCTGTTCTAAACAGAGCGGGGTTGTAAAAGATTGTTTACAAGGGATGTCTACAAGTACCGCACGAAGACCATCTTTCAAGAGTGGAAAATTCAGGTGGTAATTGCAGCATTACTGTAGTAAATGGTCAAGAATAACAGCCTATTTCTAACAAAAATGTGGCCTTACCGGATGCCACAATGAAACTAATAGTGATAACATTATTTTGGAAAAAATGAGCTTTCCAGGGAGACTAAATAAATAATTATGCTAACATTTCTCCAAATGAAATCGAAACTGAAATTCCGCTCAGAATTTGGTGTTACACAGTCCCCTACTGCCCCAAATCGAGACCACAGTATAACACTTCGGTTTTTATTTAGTCTTTTGTGAACTCGGTGCAATTTTAATTTTTCTCGTAGAAAAATCACAGAAGGATACTTCTTTTTTGAGTTCAGAAATATTAACCCCGAAAGTTTGCACGTCAGTGCAGCGCAACGCATGGTTGGCCGGATGAAACTACGATAGACAAGCAACTGGGCTGTATCGCATGACTGGATGTTAAGACCGAACTTATTAGGCAGTCAGGCGAAACAGTACAGAGGGCAACAAGGAGCTGCAGATTCCTTGCCGTCAACGTCACCAGTTCACGTTTTTGGGTTAATAGATTGCCTGACGTTAGACGCCAGTTTGATTGCTGTGGTTCATTATGATCTTTCCCCTTTCAGATCCGTTACAAAAATTGCATTACTAGGGAGGTTAACAAACGATTCCAAAGCTATCAAGTTTGCTTCAGAAAGATTGCAACTGATCCTAACTTCTGTCTTTCTTGAGTGCACAGAACGAGGTTGCTGGCGCCGACAAAACTGCGCAAACAGATAAAGTTATGTGAGGCGTAAACGAGACTACTTCCAAGACCTTAACATTCGCTCACATTTGGTGAATCGCCTTACTCGAATGTCAATCTGAATAAAGCTCACAAATGTCTAGTCTAGCTGTTAATCCTTACCCATAGTAAGATAGGCACCATGATGCGTTGCCTCCTGTTATTCGAATGAACCCGTCGCACAAGGTTGTCTCATCTTTTGCATGAAACCATACTCGAGATGCCGCAACATACTGTTTAGGTAGAACACAATACCCATGGGATCCCAAAGTCCACACCGACTCAAAGGCACGTGTTTACAAGATGTTGACTTAAGCAACACGTCCAATGACAAGGTCAAAGGACAATTTATGTACAGGTCAAAAACAAGAAAGGAGGTATAGGTGCAAGGCCAAACTAACAAAAGTGAGGAATCGCGTTGTACAACATAAAAAAATAGGAGAAAGAAATCAACACTACATTCCGATCGCAAGAGAATAGGTTACCAATGGGACTAAGATCCAAGACACGCTTATTCAGTCACACTGGATGGTTGGTGTTTAGAACTCCCCATGAGCATTTAGCGACTGCGACTTCAACCTTCTCTTACCACACTGGCCTCGCACAAATTTATAAGGGATTTGCACGGACAATTTGGTGGCAAGTCTGAGAGGACTGTTTGGCCGAGTTACATTGCCGCTACGACTGGTAAACAGTAATCAACTTATGGTATTATTATATGGCTGAAGAATATGGTCACAATCATGGTTTGAGGGCTGAAGATAGTATCTCAGAACACACAGTCATTAGACACCGTTACAGCCTTTAGACGTCATCAGGAGAGCCTGGAATTGGTAAGCTGGATACTCTGGCAAACGGTTTCAAGCTCTTTCCCACCGAAATACGCACGCATCGGTCGGTCAGAAGACCCTATTGAACTACCTTGGACATGGGTGATGGGTACACGTTTCTGTCAAGAAAACCTTGAAATAACCAAAAATCGTCTATCCGATCTCTTGTCTGAACCAAATGACTGAAAATAAATACGGAGTTTCTGGTGTGTTTGAGCGTCCGGGGATATAACCGCATCCACAATATGGGCACAAGTCATTCCTGAGCAACCATTATGCTAAACAAAGTATTCAGAATTTTCCGTTTTTTCGTGGGTAAAAAGGCACATTTCGTGGTATAAACTCACGGTAACGGTAATGCTTCTCCACTTGATAAGCACGTGATCGTGTATACTACTGGTGAAAGCGGTGAGTAGTATCTGCTTGAGGCTTCGAACATCAATATCGCAGATAGCCGATAACTGAGGTAGGATTTAGTAATTCCTTTGAACGTGCTTTCTGTTACGTCAAATTCCAGAAATGTTCAGAAATACTTCCAAAAACATCATACTTCTCAAAATTCATGCAAACGGGTCTTGCGCTTCTCGTTCGATTTCCCGTACTCGCTTTGTTCGGGTTCCGCACTAAGTAGTCTTTCGTTTGAACGGGTTGATTCCTCCATCCGACAATTTCATTTCATATATTGCACAAACGTACAATACAAGACAGCCCCCAGCCGGATACTTAAGAATTCGTTGCACTTGTTGTGCGTTCTTATATTTTATGGGAACGCTATTGTGTGAATGTTCTGTAGAACAGCCATTTTAGATTGAGGTATTCTATGGTGGAGTGAGTGAAGAGAGACATAAAAATACCATTAAAACAAATCAGTTTGGATAAGAAAGTCTTCCAAATCTGGGAATAGACACATGTTGTGTTCACACACATTCGTGATATTTTCACTCCTTTACTGGGACGGTAACATGGATACTTGCTTCGCATAGCCCAAAACGAGGACACCACTTTGTTCGTTACTTTTCCATTTTTGAATTAGCTTACTACAGTGTGCTCAAGGAACATGTGAAGACAGCACCAATCAGTGAAGCTGATTAAACCACGTTTCATTATACTTCTGCTGCTTTTGCGACCTATAAAACTGTTATGCATGTGTTAGTTAAGCTGTTTGGTGTTCCTCTTTGAACTGGACTCGAACCACAAATATCTAACAATTGGGCATAGTTATTACTTGGTGTTCTGTAAAACTTTCGTCCCAAAAATTCGTATACGTCTTGTAATTTGTGCTTTACTGTTATATCTAACTGCTTCTTCCACTCCAATGCCTGGTGACAGAGAACAACTCAC